ATAGTCTAGTTTGATTGATATTGCAAGTGTAAAGTTGTAAAGATTAAGTGGTGTATAATTGTAAGGATATATATGTTCAAGAAAGGAATAAAGAGTTTGTGGATGTGGAAGTAAAGGTAAGCCTAGATGGGCTAACCATTTATTATAGCATGAGTCTGGATCGACTAATGTATTGTATGATAAGTCTTGTGATGTTTCCTTGAAGTGTGATGATGTAATGGAATTCAAGGAAGTAGAAGGTTCCTCTGTAGATTCGATCACTGTATGCTTGGCTCTCACAGCTGCGAAGAGTGCCATAGCCTGCTTTATTCTTTCATTTTAATGTTTATCTAAATTATAATATCCTATTTTATAAAATTTTTAAATTCTTCTTCCTTTTTTTTTGATATCTTTTTTTCTATTTTTTTTATCTTTTTTTCTTTTTTCTTCTTTTTGAGCTTCTGACATAGAAGCTCTTTGTTTTTGTTTTCTTAATCTATTATCTTTCTTTTTTGATAATCTTGTTTTTGATAATATTGTTCAGTTTCAGATCTAGTTCTTTTTGCAGGTTCAGTACTACTACTTTTATTTTTTCTTATTAGTATTTCTATCTTATTAAAAAAAATTAAAATAATACAATTAATTATTTAAATTTTTATATAATTTATAAATAAAATAAAATATTTATAAAATAAATAATATAAAATTTTATTATTTTAATACTATTTAATTCTAAATTTTTACTTTTTAAATTTTATTATTATTATTATTTTAATTTTAATAATTAAATTTAATTAAATTTTTTATAAAACTTACTTTCAGGAAACTCTTCCTTGCAGATCTCTCGACCAAAATTAGTGAAAAGCAAAACAGAAAAAATATTGCAAAACACACTAAGAAGCAACACTAAGACCCTTAGTAGAAAAGAAAAAGCAACAGAATTTACATCTAGCTAATAGAACAAAATACAAATAGAAACAGCATAGAAATAGCAAAGCTTGGAAAAATAAAATTTTTTGCCGAAAACAAAATTTTTTTGTAAATTTTGGGGAATCCTTGTGACTCTTTTGTGCAGATCAACAAGGTTACACAGAAAGTATAACAAAACAAGTAAGATAAACAAACAAACATGTGTATGAAAATAGCCTAGCAAAGTAAACATATGATATAGCAACAGTTGCACCAAACCAACTAACAAATAAAATGACAACAATCAGTATGGGAGATAACACATAAGAAATAAGACCTGGAAGTTTATTAGAAAAGGTGTTAGAAAGATCAACAGCACAAAGTCTGCAGAGAGTTGGCAATGCGAAGCTTGTCAAAACACTAGAAACAACAAATGTTATAGAAACAAGAATAGACAGATATACAGCATTACTGTTCACAGCAGATGTAGTAAACATAGCAGCAGTAAGAACATTAAGTGAAGCCATCACATAGATGGACAAAAGAAGTAAATTAATAGATTTTAGTTTTAAGATAGAGGATAGTTCACAACAGCAAAAAGAAAGAAAAGCAAAAAACACAAAACAGCTAAAAGAGATAGTTGAAACCAAAGAAAATAAAAAAAAGGTAGAATTGAAAGAAGAACTTAAAAAATATGAAGCAGGTAAGGAACAGGTAATAACAGAAAAAAACCAAAAATATACAGCACAGAATCAAGATATAAAGGAGGTAAGAAGAAATAAAGAAACTCCATGACGCAATTCAAGCCTGGTAGAAACAGAAGAAAAAAAAAACAAAAAAGAAGACTTAATGATACTACAAGAAGATGCAATGAAAGTGCTATTAGAACAAAGCATCTGGGCAGCAGACAACAGACTATGTAACAATGAAAACTAGTAATAGCAAAAATTTTTGCCTATAATGTTCTAGGTAGAACAAAGTTAGAAAGAATGGGCATGGTAAAATGAATGCTTAATGTAAATAGACATATTACAAAAATTGAAGAATTTTTTGTGAAAGGCAACAGTTGGATTGAAGTATTATTTGATCATAAAAGAGAAAGAGAAGAAGCAATTAATTAGATAAAGCAAAAAGGTGAAGGTTGGTTTAATTTGATTCCAGTTGAAACATGAAACCAAGTGGAGAGTAAGAAAAAACAAGAAGAAGCAATAGAAAAGTATAGAGTAAAGAATAAACAACAGAAAGAAAGGGGTGTGGCGATTTAGTGAAGTGGATAAGTTGTCAACCCCCCAAGTGGTAGGTTGAGAGTTCAAAACCCACCGACGGCGAAAATTTGAATAAACACCTATGTAATACATAGACAGTATTACGACGACGGCATTCTGTCGATCAGTTGGGATAGGATAGCTGTAACTATGGTCGCACCAGCATGACTGGCAGGTCATGGGGCATCTGTGTAACCTTGGTTACACAGAGGAATGCAA